GGGGGGGGGGTCGGAAGATATGGAGTGAGTTTGGACTGTTCTTTTTTTATATTTCTCTCTCATGAGCTCATTTGATTGAAAAGTAGAAATTCAAAGCATGCAGCGTTATTAGACGTTGCTGAGATTATACATGACGTTCCTCCTGGTTGCTCAAAATGTTTTCCTCTATGGACTAATTATTCGGAAAATTTCTTCTCATTTCAGTTTAATTTTTATGAGAAAAATACATGATCGTTTTTGTTAAGAAGCAGTCATCCATCTGAATGAGACAGTTCCTTTTTTAGCTCATATTTTCGAGTTGCGTTGATGCCATCATTGAAAGTGAAAATCTTTACAAATCCATAACTCTGCTACAGTTGAACGAAATTCAATGAACTTTTATTTTAAAAGTTTACTCTTTAATAGGGCTCTCTAGTGGTGTTTAAATTTATGAGTTTACTCAGCGCTGTGGAGCATACTTACGCTTTTTTAACGATCCATTAGAAAATTCCTACATAAAACCGTTAAAATCATGTTGTGCGTTAAAGTGTAATGTCACGCTGGCCAGGTTGGCCTAAGTGGTCAGCGCGTCTGACTCTAGGTCAATATACGTGTGGGTCCCGGGATCAAATCCCGGTAGTTGCGTCAAATTTTCAAGGATCTGACGAGGAGCTCTGTTAAATTGTTAAAATGTGTCCTAAAACCTCCTTGATAACATATCAAAAGATCGTTTTAGTTAGACGATGCGCCTGGTGTCAAAAAAGCCTCGGCGTGATAGAAAAGCACGCATTTTCGCTAAAATACGCCTGCAGACATATGTTCAGGCAACCGTTTAACACGCATCCAGTGGCTTATGGACCAAAACAGGATTATTTCCGTAAACTACATTGAGTCAACTTGGTAAACCCGCATAATTTTCCAGATTTTAGGGGGGGGGGGCAAAAAAGGCCCTAATCGAAACTCCTCCTTTGAAAAGCTTGGAGCATGGATGTCCCTATCGCCCTGGTGTCTACGGACAATAAATCTACTCTATTAATGGCTGTAGGTTCCTAACGGAACAGAAGCCAATACACCATTTAAAAAAATAAACAAAAAAAAACGTAATTCCATGCACGTCATGCTGGACATTACAACTCGTATAACAGCTGATATTGAGATTTTCAACAGCACTGTTTCCTTTGAGCCAACTAAACTTGAAGGTGCAAGTTCGGTTTCACTCCGAGAGCAAAATCAAACTAGGCCGCGCCGCTTTGAGCCAAAGTCTCTTCGAGGGAAAGTTGAGTGAAATGATGACTCGGTGTTTTGAACGCGCTTTTGAGCGGCTCAAAGGGGGGAAATTTACATGCCACTTAATCCACTCAGAAACTTGAGCTTTTCGGCTGGCAAGTTGACTTTAAGCTCAACTTTTACCGGTTTCCGTCGAGGGTGGTTTTCACATCGGGACTTATCTCCGCTTAAACCTGAAAACTCTCACCCAACTTTCCCAGTAAAAATTATTACGGTTGTCACATGAACGACTCAAGTGAACATCACGGCGACTGAAAAAGTGAACTCTAAGTTTTACGAAACTAAAAGGGAACCCTTCTAGTTCCCTGCTTCATTCAAAGTAAGTACGAACCAAGCATGTTTCGCCTTTAAATTTAGGCATCTGATACATTTAAATGATAGTCAGTCATGGATAAGACAAATCTTTACAACGTTCAAAAGTTCTGTTCATTCTATTTTTAAAACTACGATTTTAAATTGTTTAAAAATACGAAGCAAACTTACAATTGAATCCTGAGCGCTTGTTTCTAATTTTAAATAGGTTCTTTCTCGACCACCCTGCAAGAAAATAAAAAACACAACATGACTGAGTATAATAATGAAATCACGGATAACAAAAGAGATTAGGAAGCGAATAGTTAAAATTACAAAGTAAATCAGATATAGTTAGAATGACTAAGACTGATCGTCGTACACTGAAAAAAAAGATCGGTAGAATTTACTATTCCTTCGCGCTGAATTTCACACAGCGTTAATTCAGAGTCAATTCTGCCAGAAGGAATGTAAACGTGACGATATGCTGGTGCAGATAACCATTCCTGTAGCAGAATTGACTTGAATTTTGGTAGAATTAACTATTCCTTCACGCCGAGTGAAATACAGCGCGAAAGAATGGTAAATTCTACCAATCTTTTTTTCAGTGTACACTGAAAAAAATAACACATTGGATCTTGAGTCCAGACTCTTAAAAACATCGAAAAGAAAAAGTACTGTAGATTCAATCAGAATCTAGCTTAAATCAAGAACCAAACCTCTTAATTTAAGTGGATTTCGTTCTGATTCAAGCAAAAGTCCGATTGAATCGAGAGTATTTTTTCTTGTCAATGTTTTCAAGAGTCCGGACTCCAGATCCAATGTGTTTTTTTTTTTCAGTGTACCCCTGGCGTAAGGGCATATCTCAATTTCCACGCTCACGTGGAAATTTTTACGTATAATCCTTATGCTTTCTGGGGCTCCTATAGATATTGAGATACGCCCTAACATCAGATGAGCGACAAAATATATCATCGAAAGGCGCACGAAAAATCGTAACTTTTGTTTTTAGAGTGTGAGTTTCAAGGACTATACTCCTCTGATTTTTCACGCCGGGATCCTAGACAATAACACGTATTTTTTAGCATGTTTGCTACTACTTTACACAGCAACTAGATGCAAAGGATTCAAAGCAATAACATCGCGCAGCCATCAATAATTAATGAGCACCCTATCATCCAGCGCTCTCTACTCCACTCATAATTACTCGTCACTTCGGTGCAAAAGCACAGTAAAAGCTCCCCGTGCCTATCTGAGACCCAATATCGGACTCATTCGTGCGCGTCAAACGATCCTAGAAAGCTTCGGTAACACCATATCAAAGACAATAATGGAATTGATTCGAAATGATCGACCTTTTCCGAAATAATAGCAAGCTACCCGGCACTAAAACTAGCGCTCCAATGCACGTGCATTAGCTAGGCGAGGGGCTTTTGCGGGTCAGTCAGGTGAAAAATTATATGCTGAAGTCAAAATCAGGATAGGGTTGCCAAGTTTAATGCAGTAAGATTGTGGAGTAATGCTGCATGTACACTATTTTTGGAAAAATTAAGTAGGAAGTACATCAAAAGAGGTATTGTTTATAATTAGAATTTATTCTTGATATGTACTTGGATGCATTCCGGGATCACTTGTCCCACCTTTAACAAGATTCTGGTTGCTATTTTTTGGAGGAAATCAAAGTCAGGGATACCAAAAATCAGAGTAACACTGCGAAAATATGGACCGCGTTAAACAGAAAGGAACCGAGCCACATCAGCTATCGCCAAATTTAATCGGGCAATTTAATTTTTTGCATGAAAACGGTTGTGCGGAGTTTGTGCAAATTTTAGTGAATTTTCTCCATAATACAAAGCAAATTCCTTAAAATGTTCAAGGGAATCCGCACGAACGTTCTCTCGTAAAAAATAAAATTCCCCTGTTAAATTTGGCAATAGCTGATGTGGCTTGGTTCCTTTCTGTTTAAAGCGGTCCATATAATCCTCGTCCTCATCACAATGCTCATAGTGGATTCCAGGTCCGACCATAATTTCTAGTCGTAGTTACGATGTCCTTGGTATCATTAACCGTTGAACTAGGGCATTGAATAAAAGTAAACAATTTTCAATATGTACAAGGTAGGAGTCCTTGTTTGTTCTTTACTTACAATTAGTAAAATTCATGTGTTTACGTTTAAGAAAATTCATGAAGAAATTGCCATACAAATTCTGTTAAAATACTTACATTCATGCTAAACACAAAATAAACTGCAACATCTAACTTAAACTAAAATATGTGAGGCTCATACAAATCATACTCTATGATATACATACATAAAGTCGCTTTTATACTCTATGATATAAGATCATAAAATTGGACACTAGTTTTTGTTAAAATCTACCATAACTGCCAGATGATGCCAAAAAATTAGCGCTCTCTTCCATTTTAACCCGTATACCTAAAATATCTACATTTAATTGTACAATCTGGTAACTTTGAAATCTACCGAAATGAAATGTAGAAACAACTTTCAAAAGCACGAGATGGTTTTTCAACGTGAAAAAGAACAAAAATGGTTTTATGACTCTGATATTTTTACAAGTTTTTTAAAGGTTTGCACAGAAAAAAATAGATGATGCTGACGACAGACCCTCCTGCTCACACGGCTCCTGCAGTTTCTTTGTTACACTTACAGAATTTTTCTGTTGTGAGGACAGAACTTCGGTCGCGGAACAGAGTACTTTGTCCTCATAACGGAAGCTTTTGTGACTGTTACAAAAGAATTGCAGGAGCCCTGTGAACATAACTATTTTTTTCAGTGTGGTCTACAAACTTTACAATTTTTTTGGGGGGGTTTTGTTTTTGTTTTTGTTTTTTGTTTTTGTTTTTGTTTTTGTTTTTGTTTTTTGTTTTTTGTTTTTTGTTTTTTGTTTTAACAGCCAATACTGCTCTGTTTCCCCTGTCAAATGACGAATGGGATTTTCGAAGTGGTCGCGGAAACAGCGGGGCGGTGTGTCACGGAGCCGCGTTTGGGGTGACATAGCGCATGAAATATTAAGGGGGCCCGTTGGGGGAGGGGGGGGGGGGGACGGGGATGCGGAAATATTAGTCGGCCGACCGCAGATTCATCATGCGCGGCGCGACGCGTCGTGACGAGACGAAATGACGACGCGACAGAGGGCATGACGCCCACCAGTCGTCCCCAGAAATGCAAATCGAACTCCATTTTGCATCGCATATAGTTGCATGGGGGTAAAACGTCATATAAAATGGCTACTTTCTAGATTTGCATTTTTCAAGGGATTAGCCGGTTGAGGTGAAGAGACAGTGTGCGTATGATGGACCACTTACTGGAAAAAAAACACATTGGATCTAGAGTCCTGCAGACTCTTAAAAACATCGACTAGAAAAAATACTCTTGATTCAATCGGATTTTAGCTTAAATCAAGAACCAAGCCTCTTAATTTGAGCGGATTTTCTTTTGATCCAAGCAAAAATCTGATTGATTCAAGAGTATTTTTTCTTGTCTATGTTTTCAAGAGTCTGCACTCTAAATCCAATGTGTCTTTTTTTCCAGTGCTTGTTAGTTAGTTAATTACTTAATTAACCTCACCTAACCTAACCTAATCTAACCTAACATAACATAACCTAACTCGATAAATCAGTAAAAATATGGTCAAAATTGAATTCCACGAAAAGCAGCTCATTCTCTATACCTAGGACCACTAGACTATTATGAGTTAAAGCATTCTGATGTATGTGCTGTCTTTAAAATTGCACGGAAAACGCGACTGCTGTGCAAAGTAAAAAAAATCGTATAATCATTCGAATGTTATCAAATTTATTATTCGAAAAAATTTTGACCGCGTTAAGCCATATCAGGTATTGCCAAATTTAATATGGCAATTTAATTTTTTACACGAAAACGGTTGTGCGGATTTTTCTGCGAATTTCGGTGAATTTTCTGCACAGTACAAAGCAAATTCCTCAAGAATTCGATGGAATCCACACAAATGTGCTCTTTTAAAAAAATTAAATGGCTCGCTTAAATTTGGCAATAGCTGATGTGGCTTGGTTCCTTTCTGCTTAAAACCCATTTATGCCCATTGGGTCGTTAACGACCCATCGCAGTTTTTGAATTTTAGTGTTAGTGTAAATTAGGGAATTTCATATGTTCAACACAGGATAATCCATGCCTCGGATGTAGGCAAGCCTATTTTATTTTTGTTGTGCCTCAACAAATGTCTACCCTGTCTACATAACGTCAAAAACAACAAGTGAATAAAAAAAAAATTTAAAAAAAAATAGTTTTGGGCATATATATGGGTTTTAACACGGTCCATTTATTCTTGAAGAAAGTTATGGATATTTTTCATTGAAATTTTGATGCAAAGCACAATATAATATCCGCAAAAATATGATAAGGCGGTGTAGTGATGTCAATTTATGAAGAATACAATCCAGCTTTCGAGATATTGCTCACAGCTCACGGATTCTTTTCCTCGACGCTCTGCTCCCTCTTAGGATTTCTGAAGAGGTTGACAGCGAAACGTAATCCATCAACGTCAAGCATTATGATCAGTCAACCTCCATAAAGACTCTGACTGAAATTTGTCATATAGTTGACTTCCATTCAAATAAATGCGTGTAAAAAGAAAACATTTTGAGTGAAAGGATGCTTATCAGATTTAAAGAGGAAAAGGATTTACTCGATACGCACTTGGAATGAATGGGTGAATGGTTTCAAGATAACTGGGATAGTTTTGTCGCCGTAACAGACAACACACGTTGTTCGGTGTAAAAGTTGCCCATAACACTAACACTTTCTGAAGATGCAATACAATTCCACAATTTAATTACCGTGCTTGAGAGGATAAAATTAACCCAAAATTAATTTTCAAGAATAATAATTTTAAACACGCTTGGATCTAAAATTTCTGTAAACATTTCTGAGATAATCCTGTAAACTGTCCTATGCTCTCTCACAGGAGAATTCCTCCAAAATCCGATGCTGATTTTTCGAGGCTCGAAGACACAACTTTATAACATGCAATTTGCATAGTACAAGTACTTTAATGGATAGATCCCTGGTCTGTAAATTACAGGGTTTTGATAAAAGCTTTAGTGCTGAACTTGATAGTTTTCATGGAAAAAATCCTCATTTCAAGTGTTAGTTTAAACATGGAATGTCAGACTTCTGGATCAGTCGCGAAATATAAATGACACATTTAAATCGTCAACTCACCTTAAGCTATCTGAGAAACTAC